CCAGTTTTGTGAACAGTTTTTACTTTACCTGTTTGTACGTTTTATTTTTCACACTCCTATAGCGGAGAATCCGGTGCTGGCAAAACTGTCAACACGAAACGTGTCATTCAGTATTTTGCCATTGTGGCAGCTCTTGGGGAAGCATCTGCCAAACATCTCCCAAAAAAGCGGTAAGGGTGAAGGGGGAACCTTTTTTTTTTTTTTTTGTTTCCCGCCTCCCTTTTTAAAGCTTTTTTGCTGTATTTCCTGTTTTCTTAATTTTTTTTCATGGCAGGAGTCCTTCAGTGTTTTCCCTTTAAACTGTGTCCATACGTTTTCTTCCCTGTCAAAGTGGTGAATGTGAGAACTGATTACATTCGTGTCTGAGTATTTACCTTCATGTGTTGTGTAGCCATTTCCAGCCACTCTGCTCTCCTTCCTCATTGATTTTTGAATCATTTTTCTTCTCCCCCTCCATGTTTTTGTTCCAAATGTTTTTCATTATATTTCCCTTCACTTTGATTTTTGGGGTTTGACTTTTCTTTGTTGTTTGATGCTCATTTTTCTCCCCTGCGTTCACTACACTTCATCATATAAACAAGGTTTTTACCACAGTTTTAACAACCAGCTTCTAATTTTCCAGTTGGTCATGGTGTTTCCCTTTGGTTGTGAAAGCAATTATTCAGTCATGCCTGAGATAACAAACTCATAGGCATTCTCAAATTCTTCTTTAGCAGCAAGGTCCTGCCACTAAAACAGGGGTGAGTTAGAGCCTCAGAAAAAATAATATGCTACATTATGTTTCATGGCAAATTAAAATAAACTTTCAATCTTTTCTCCCAGGGGACTCTGGAGGATCAAATCATCGAGGCGAACCCTGCCATGGAGGCGTTTGGCAACGCCAAAACGATAAGGAATGATAACTCTTCTCGTTTTGTAAGCTCCTAAAAAATTCCCTTTGTCTCGTGTATTGTACCTGCATTGAAATGGATTTAATGTTTCAAAAGCTACTTGTTTGTTGTTTCTTTGCTCATTTTCTGACAGGGCAAGTTTATCAGGATTCACTTTGGACCTTCTGGCAAACTGGCCTCCGCTGATATTGATATTTGTGAGTGGGTGTTCACGCACTGTCTTTTAACGTCATACATTTCTCATTTAGTTTCATGCCTGATACAAACATGTCTCTGACCTTCAGATCTTCTGGAAAAATCCAGAGTGATATTTCAGCAGCCTTCTGAGAGGAGCTACCACATCTACTACCAGATCATGTCGCAAAAGAAACCAGAACTGTTAGGTTTGTCACTGTGGAGGCTTTGGATTGTCATTATATACTGTTGCATGACTGACTGACTACAGCACAGGACCCTGTAAATTCTTCGTTCCAGACATGCTGCTGGTGTCCTCCAACCCATATGACTACCACTTCTGCTCCCAGGGCGTCACCACTGTGGAGAACTTGGATGATGGAGATGAGCTGATGGCCACCGATGTAAGAACGTTTACCTTTCTTTAAGGAGGAGAAATTCAGCCGCGTCTGACTACAGAACACTGAGTAGCTCACATCCTCTTGGCCTCTCTACAGCATGCCATGGACATCCTCGGCTTCCTGCCTGATGAAAAGTATGGCTGCTATAAAATAGTTGGAGCCATCATGCACTTTGGCAACATGAAATTCAAGCAAAAGCAGCGTGAGGAGCAGGCAGAGACAGACGGCACTGAAAGTAGGAACCTGAACTGTAGCATTTAATACAGAGAAAACTACAGACAGCGATTTTGTGATTCGCTCTTTCTCTGGTTTCATTTTTTTCCCTGCTTGGTGACCAGGTGCAGACAAGGCCTCGTACCTGATGGGAGTCAGTTCAGCTGATCTCATCAAGGGCCTCCTCCACCCAAGGGTGAAAGTGGGGCACGAGTATGTGGTGAAAGGACAGAATGTCGAACAGGTGAGGAGACGATGCCTGCTGCCATTGCTTCCCCATTATTTTAATAATCTAGAAGATGCATAGTGAGATGATTTTTCTCTAATATGAGGTGGAAAAAGAAGGACAGCCAAATAACAAATCTATCAATATGACAAACAGAACTGCAGCATAAAACGGTGATACACACTGTATCAAAAATTCAGTGTGTTCAGCGTCTCTTCATTCTCCTAGGCTAGTATGCTGATGAGGCACAGCCTCAATCCTCAGTCGATCAATACATTCCTCACTCCACACACACCAGAATCTGGTATCTAAGCAACAGGGGCTATCCAAGTGAATGACGGCTGTACTCTTCCCGTGTGTGTTGTGCTGTAGGTTAACTATGCCGTCGGTGCTCTGGCTAAAGCCACATATGACCGTATGTTCAAATGGCTCGTGGGACGCATCAACCGGACCCTGTACACCACCCTGCCTCGCCAGTACTTCATAGGAGTCCTGGACATCGCTGGGTTTGAAATCTTTGAAGCAAGTTGATCTGCAATTATTTTGATCTAAATACAAATAAACTTGCCTTTATTGTTAAGTTCAAGTTGGTTGCATGGTCACATTTTGGTTTAATATTAACAGGTCCTCATTCTTTCTCTGGTGGTGAATTGGGACTACTGCAGGATGAATCTGGAACATATTATGTTTTCATGCTGTTCACTTCTAATGCACCTTCTGAAGACCTGCCCCTCTTTCATTGCAGCTCAATAGCTTCGAGCAACTGTGCATCAACTTCACAAATGAGAAACTGCAACAGTTTTTCAATCACCACATGTTCGTTCTGGAGCAGGAGGAGTACAAGAGGGAAGGCATTGAATGGACCTTTATCGACTTTGGGTTGGACCTTCAAGCTTGCATTGATCTCATTGAAAAGGTAAAGTACTTTATTCATACTAAATTAAATCATAAATGCATTTCTCTGAGACAAATTCGACTGACATGCCGCTCTTC